CAGATTAAGTGACTACCACAGTAGGCATCAAATATTTTTGTTTTGTTTACTTATAAAATATAACATGTCAGTGGAGTTGGTTCATTTTTCATTGTGCACTAAGTGCATCATGTTAGGCTCAAGAATGACTTTATTATTGTCTTCATTTAACAAGACAAGTACAAGTGCCACGTTGATAAGGGTTGACCTGTAATAGTTAAGTTTTTTGACAACATGGATGGGCCAGGATCCTACCATGATATAATCTAAAATAATATGGTCAACTCCATAATGGGATCTTCTGTGAAACAGCCAACAGTTGTGGGGAGACAGACTTCCTTAATCTGATCACAGTATTAATAAGATCAAAGGCATTTTTCATTTAGGGTGCGACCTATTCTTTTTGTTTAATTAATTGGCAGTTAAGACAGATATAATTCCGTAGTTCAATCCTGTCAAGCAGAACTATACAAGTGCTACCACAATCAGTTTTCAGCATTATTTTCTTGAACTCCTTGACATTATCTCCCTTTTACGCCCTCCCACCACCACCACTGTACTCCCTACCACCTCCTACTCCCCTCCAAAACGCTTATTCTACTTGCTGCCCCTAGAGATTCACCAATCCTGGGTTTCATATATAGAAATATACAAAACATCTAATACAACCTCTAGAGGGTGACCTCCTCTGAGACGCATCCTACTGTGAAAGAACAGAAACAAAACAAAAATGTAGAAAATGTTGAAAATCAGATCAGATTCAGCATGCATCCGAGGGCAGATCAACTGACAAAGTTTTAACCATTAAGTCAGATATGAGCCTTTAATCTTCTCTACTCATCTCTCCTATGCCGCCTGTTTAGTGACCACATTCCTCCCATCTCTCAATTGTGCATAAAGAGGGTTCGTCAGAGGCTTATGTCCTATGTAATTCCCATCAATTAATCTTGGCTTCCCACTATCATCCCTGGCCTTCTGCAAACTGGATTCTCACAATTTAGGCTCAGATACTAATCCCTTCTTCAAATTCAGATTATATTATTTACAATCCTCAAAATTTCAGTGTGTGAATGCTAGCTCACTTCTAGTGTTGGGTTTGGATTCTGCATATGGTCTGCAGACCTCTTGTTATGTTGCTTGCTGATTGATTGAACATCCACTAGTGAAATGCTAACCTTGGACTCGTTCAGCTGATTTCATATTCATCTGGTTTGGCATCCACCAGTCAGCAGTCTTCCTGCTTCCTCTTCCTGATTCTTGTTCATCAGCCCTTGCAGCTATGGGAGGCACCTGCATATTATGGCAGACCCAGAATTAAACCAGACTCGGCTTAATCACCTCTAA